TTAAATACAACTAGAGGATCAATTATGGAATTTAAGGTGTTTGTTAGTAATTATTTAATCAGTTAATTAAAAGGTCTAAACACCTGAAAGCATTAAATACTAGTCTTCAGTATTTTGGTGTTTGGGGTTAGACAATTTACGATGTAAGTATTTAGATCTGATGCTTTTTGGTTATAAAATAGATATGAAGCAGAAAAATTATGCTTTTCAAGCAATTAAAGAAAAATAGAATAAACTTTGTAATGGAATTAAATGGGGTAACAGATTCCAAGAAAACAGTTTCATCTAATGGAGCTATTGGATATAATTACAGTATATGTTTCATGTTCCACCTAACAGCATGTTTTAGAGTTTACTTTAGACAACAACTCTATTTTTAACCAAATTAGTTAACGATTATTTCAATAATCATGAATTATTTTTTTATCCTAACAGCTGGGAAGTTTCACCAGCAGTTTGAACTCAAAGCAGTTACACCTTCATTCTGGTTCATCAATGTGAACAGGAGAAACAGCAAAAATGTATTACTTTTGTGAAACCAGTAGAAACACGTCATTTTACACGTCATCCCACGATGACATATAAAAGAATTTAACACTCAACAGCCTTTAGAAAGGTCAAAATCACTCAAATAATGTGAAGAATGGAGACTCATGCTTCCGTTTAGCCATCTTTAGCAGTTAGTTAGCACTAAACATGTTAATTGTGGTTTTATTAGGCTAATATTAGCATTAGCATTTGGTTTCATTACATTTTTTTTATTATAATCTGAATGTTTGCAAAGACAGTATATCACTAGATAATTATTCTGGAGCTGCAGCATTAATTCTATGTATTTTTACTGTAATGTGGACATTATATAAGAGATGAAAGGTAATTAAAGCTCACTTTCACATGATTTTTAAATGACATTGTTTTGCTTGTTTTTCATTTTTTGAATGATAATTTTAGTCATGAGTCTCTATTAAATCTATATACGCCTAGAAAAGTGTTGATCTTTATAGTTTCTGTAATTATTTATTTTCCTATGCCTTCGCTCCTCTCTTTGCACGTGTTTGTCCAGGTGTGGCATCCTGCAGATCGGGGACAGGATCCTGTCCATAAACGGCGTCCCCACTGAAGACTCGACCTTGGAGGAAACCAACCAGCTGCTCAGAGACTCGTCCATCACGGCGCAGCTCACGCTGGAGATCGAGTTCGATGTGGCAGGTGAGCAGGCGGTTTGCCCGGTTTCTGTCTGCAGGGATGTTTGCTGATGACAGATGAATAACAGTCTGTGCCGAGTTCTGCTTCTGGGCTGTTTGTGAATGAACCGCGTCCGGCTGGTATAAATAACCACCCACATCCGAGTTTAATACAACAACACAACAAGCCGTCACAGATGACTCACAGACACATTGTGTGGCTTTTACAGGCAGAGCGGTGGAGATGGCTGTGATATAACAGGGTTCACGTGGTTAAATCCGCCCATCTTAATCTGCTTTTGTTGCAGGATTACAATTGTTCTTCTTGTTTGTTTATTTATATTGAGAAAGGCAAAAAATCACCACTGAAATGAATCCTCTCTCTGCCCTAGAGTCCGTCATCCCCAGTTCAGGGACGTTCCATGTGAAGCTCCCAAAGAAACCAGGAGTGGAGCTGGGAATCACCATCAGCTGTGAGCGTTCCTCATCCATCCGATCTAAAACATGGATTAATGAATCTGTAAATTCAGGTCCGTTCACTCATGTGTTTGTTCCTCTGAAGCTCCGTCCAACAGGAAACCAGGTGACCCCCTGATCATCTCTGACATCAAGAAAGGCAGCGTCGCTCACAGGTAACCTCAACTCTGCCACAACAGCGGCTTTTATCTCATGGAAGCTTGTTTAGATGTGAACAGGAAGTGAGGCGGACACGTTCGGCTGGTGAAGCTGCATTAAAATGGTGTCAGCTGTGTTTCTGGTTAAATAGACTAACAGGTCCGAGTCTATCCTTTGTTTGTTATTTTCAACCAGATGTGGCAGAACATGCCATATTTAACTCATAGATGTAAAGCATGAAGAAGCTGCAGCATTCAGGATGATTAACACTGAAAAATTATCTAGAAATAAATCAACATTTCTTAAATTAAGTGTATTTCGCTTAATTTGAGTACGTTAATAAGATGATTTGCCATTGGAATATGTACTTTTACTCTTAAAATAAGATATTTAGATAACTTAAAATAAGAAAATGCAATTATTTTTTCTTATTTCAAATGTAAATTGTCTTGTTCCAGTGGCAAACTGTCTCACCTCCTCAATTCTAGAAAAAAAATTCAAGAAAAAAAGGAATGGAAAGATTTCCTGATTTAGAGTCTCCATGTTTTCCTACCAGGACAGGAACGTTGGAGCTGGGAGACAAACTGCTGGCCATCGACAACATCCGGGTGGAGAACTGCTCCATGGAGGAGGCTGTTCAGATCCTCCAGCAGTGCGAGGAACTCGTCAAGTTGAAGATCCGCAAAGACGAAGACAACTCAGGTACGAGATTTAATCAGCTCCTATAAACCGAGACATACCGTTCTAGAACAGCAGCTGAAAACACCACAGCTCATCTTTGGAGGTTTAGGATCAGACCTGTTTTCTAGTGTTGGTTGGTTCGCTCCATAAGCAAATGCTGCATTAAATTATAGAGGAGCTGAATTAAAAAAACAAGCAGACGACCATGATTGACGCGTCAGGAACCAATAGTGTAATATGGAGCGTGTTTTGTGAATGGTGGACGTTATTCATTGATTTCTCACTGTAGCGGGGAGAATTTATTTTAGTTTCACTTCCAGACCTTTTATTTCACTGCTGTCTTTAAGCCACATGGTGAATCTGCATCTAATTGGATAAATATCTTCTGATGTTCCAGATGAGCAGGAAGTTTCCGGCAGCATCATCTACACAGTAGAGCTGCAGAGGTACGGAGGCCCATTAGGAATCACCATCTCAGGCACCGAGGAGCCCTTCGACCCCATCATCATCTCCTCTCTGAGCAAAGGAGGGCTGGCTGAGAGGTAGACTAACATTAAAACTTCATTACATCAGATTTTAGGCAACGCCACTCTGCCACACGTCAATCAAACAGAGTTTCTTCAAGCTTTTAAAGAACCCGATTACTAGTACATCATTGGATTTCCCCAGTTTACAAAAAAAAAAAAAAAGTTAACGTACATTTAGTACAATTAAACAGATGGAAAAAAAAGCTGGATTTTTTTTTCTTTGAAGTAAAAATGTCGCCATTTGTGAGCATCTTGTTTATTATTGTTATTAAACCATCTTATCAAGCCTGAGGCGAAGAGAAGAAAAGCTATTGAAAATGATCCAAAGTAATCAGCTGTAAATTAAGCAATGACGATACTAAACCAGAGGGGGGAGATTAAAGGTATAAAGGACGATCTTTTGTTTCCGCGTGGATCATCTTAATAAGTGCTCCTTCTAATTGTCAGCTAATTGTGGTGAGCTTTGGTTTCTGACAGTCATTGAAGCTCACTTTTCTCACAGTGGTTCTTTGAAAATGGCAGAGGGTCGCAACAGAAAAAGTGTCTACGAAGTTTAAGAGAAGAAAAGAAAGGTTTCAAAAGAGGCAGATATATCCCAGAATGCTTTGCGAGGAGAGTTCTCCTGGGAGCCCGACAGCGGTGACTAATAATAAAGATGGCGCAGGCGCAGTGGAGGAGGAGTTACGTGACCAACGGGGAGAAAAAAGCAGTGATCATCTGTCCGAATGGTCAGTTAACCATAAAGTGCACTATAAAGTCCCTGCTCTATATAGTGATTGAGGGATTTATGGGTTAGGGTGGACGTTCGGGCACAGTAAGCTTGTATGGGCTTTGAGAACAGCAACTTTTAAACAGAGGGTGCATGAGGAGAAATGGACTCATGTCATCTAAAATACCTTTAATCATAATGTTTTTGTAATTGTTTTATTAAAATAAATATGTTAGGTAGATAAAACACTTAAACCAAATAAAACAGAAAAAAAATTGTTTTTGTTAAACAATGAAAATGAAGGCAGGGATAAAAGGTGAGAGCCTGTCTGATTTCTACATTATCTGGGAAATGGCGCCCTCTGCTGTTTATGAAGCATACTAAAACATTAAACTATTCCTTAGGTTTAGCTGATCTTTGAAATGAAAATTTTTATTCATAATTAAAGCATTAGTCATGGTTTATTTTTATTTAAATTGTTATTTTAACCAAACGTTTAATGAAAAAAATAAAACCTAAAAAAATGCCAAAGTAGGAGGTTTTTCTCTTACTTATTTTTTAATCTTATTTTAAACAGGAATTTCTTTGAAACTATTCCTATCTTTTCTTTCTCAGGGTTTAAAGTTTTGTGGCTCATGTTATTTCTCTGACATTTTATTCAAAAGGAGGAAGAAAGTGGTTTCAGTTTTCTAAAAAAGCAGGAATAAAATATTAGAACTCCAGTTAAAGCTGAAATATGAAGAAAACTCAAACGCTTAGAATTACACAGTAAAGTCTCGTTTTAATATTTTGGTTTAAAACTAGAAACGTTTTAATTTCTAGTTTTAACAAACCTTTTAACCAAAATAAAACCACATTTTTGGTCTAATAATACGGTAGATATACTGTAAAAACTCAGCCCTCAGCGTCGTGTTTATCACTTATCAGCTGATTAGCCTGATATATTAGTACTTTCCACTTCCTGCAAATATGGTTCATGTGGCACAAACACTAATTAGATCATTTTTTTACCTTCAGCTTTTAAATCAAATGTTTATTAATTAATCTACTTTAACCATGGCTATAATTTCCCTTCATGTTGTTCTGGAGACAAAAGTTTTATCCCAGATCCTCAAACCAAGATGGGATTTTTTATTTTTTTTTGCCATCCTTGTGATTTCAAATAAAGTTTTTTGTCAAATATTTAGCAGCGATCAATAACTTATAATAAATCTCCTTGTTATGAATTTAAGAAACTGGACTCTTAGTAAGACAAAGTGCTTCAGTGTTTTTTTTTGTTTTTGTCCTGCAGGACGGGAGCGATCCATGTGGGCGACCGTATCCTGGCGATCAACAGCAGCAGCCTGAAGGGGAAACCTCTGAGCGAAGCCATCAGTCTGCTGCAGCAGGCGGGAGAAACGGTCACTCTAAAGATCAAGAAGCAGGGAGAGCGTAAGTATGGAGGCTCACTCATTACTGCATGTTTTTAAGTGTCAATTCATAAAAAAAATTCATATATAAAATATCTAAAGATTTCTCCAGTTAGATGTATGAGTGCTGTGGGAAAAAGGTAGATTTCTATACAGTCCAGTTAAATAAAAAGTGATAAATGGATTTCACTCAGCTGGAACCTTGCAAACTAAAAAGAGAACAAGACAATCAAACGGCCCTTACAGCATGACGTTCTGCTCTGTTCTGATCTAGACAGCGTTTGTCTCTCTCTAATTAAAACCCTGCAGAAAGGCTGTGATGGTCTCCACATATCGTTACCCAAACAAAGACAGACAGTTGGACATAACACACGTTATGAAATTATCCCTCAGAAACAGTCCTGCTCGTTATGAGAACCATTATTTTAATCCTTAATAGGATAAATAACCCTTACAGCTTGTAGCCCTGCAGCTCTGAGGCCTGAATGAATAAATTTCAGCCCTCATACATCAATATATGTGAAATGAAATTAATAAGAGATATTTTTTTTCAATGAGCAAGCATTGTTTATGTTTTAAACATGAACTGGCAATAAAAAATTATCTGATAACATCTCATCTATCTGCAGTGTCAAGCCCAAAGTCCTGTGTGATTGGGCCAGGGCTGGGGGCGGGGCTTAACCTGGAGAGCCAGGATGGGGAGGAGGAGCCTGTCATCACTGTGTTGCCTCCGTCCAATCAAAGGGCGTTCAGCACGCTGCCGTCTGTGGACAGCGCCGTGGACTCCTGGGACGGATCCAACATGGACAGCAGCTTCACCACCGCGGGTACGCCATCCAGCCCTAATCTTCACGCTCCGTCCTGCTGTCGCTTCTGACATATTTAACCTTTCTCTGTTGGTCTAGCGCCGCCGTTCCAGTCGTCACCTTACAGCTTCCATGAGTGGCGGGGAGTCAACTCAAACAACAGCCAATCGTCTGCCCGGCAGAGAGCCAATCCGCTGTCAGATCTGGGGCTGAGTGACGACGACTGGGACCGCCCACCGCTGGGAGGGTGAGCAGAGTCTCTGTTAAGGTCGCTTCCTTCCTTCCTAACTTAGTCCTTGCTTCCTTCCTTCCTTTCTTCCTTAGGCCTGCCTTCCTTCTTTCCTTAGGCCTTCCTTCCTTTCTTAGGCCTTCCTTCCTTTCTTAGTCCT